AAAATGGAAGGCGAACATTGCCACATGTAGCAATTCCATGCCAAATGCAGAGTGACCATACCAAAATGTAGCAAATACCATGCGAAATGACAGGTTCTAGTTCTGTTGCAAATACAAGGCAAATGGTACCAGGAAAGAAAGCCAAAACCAAACCCAAAACCCGACGCAAAAAAAACAAAACAAAACCTATTCTATGTTTTTCATCATTTTCATAGACAATCCTGAAATCCCCCCAACAAAAATGGATGATGACTGGGTGTACCTCCATGGATGTTCATGGATTGGAGACCTCCATAGTGATAAACTATTGGGACATTTATGAACTGTTGGGAAATGTTTATGACACACATTAAACATTGAAAAGTTGATAACTCATTGGGATAATTAGTGATAGACCATCAGGATAGTGATAAGCATTTGGGATATTGATATTGATCAATTATTGGGTAATTTGGGAATAGATATTGGTATTGGGTAAGATTTTCTCAATGATTATCCGATAAGCATTGATAATCTGGATGATTAACATTGAGATACAATTGGGAAATTTGATGATACGGTTATTTTAGCATATTTTAGCAGGATATTGATAGACATTGATAAACTGACAAGCCATTGGAATATTGATTAACTACTAAGAGTTTGGATGATATTGTGGTATCTAGCTGAGCCATTTTCTGGGTCGGGTGAGATACTTGCAGTCAGAGTTGGATTTACGGCGATTTTTTCCAGCAACCACTTGAGCTACTCAACAAATGGCATAAAGGTATCAAGATCATTTTCCCGTCTTCCCATTGGTTAATTTACCCTGTCTTCGCAACAAGCCCCCAACCTTTTCGGTTGGTAGGCCCCCCAGTCTTGTCGCTTGGTTTGTAACGTTTATAGCCCCCATTAGCATCCATTATAGTTCGATAGATCTTCCACAAAGCCAACTATTGGAACTATGTTCACCAACTTAGTAAAAGAAATGTGGTGGTTTTTATGATGCTTAAAACATCTTAATTAAGCCACAACCCCGACTCCCCATCCTCAACTGGAGCTGGAGTCCCCATCGGAGGTCAAGAGCAAGTTGATGCTTTCCGGCCTTGAAAGCCATGTGGTGGAGAGCTTCACCCTCATAGGACAGCGTGGAAGCACACGAGCCTTTGGTGCCTTTGGCGCCGATTGGGGTGGAATGGCGGTGGTAGGGTAGGGGATCATTGAAGGATTTTCATAGGGGATATATATATATGATGGGGATAGATGATGGATCAATGGTTATTTAGTCAACAATGGGGATTTTATGAAATTTAGATGATTGATGGGGACATATGATGGATTTCGGGATTTCGTGGTGATCAGTGACTATCATGGGGATTTCATAGAATTTAGACTATTTCTAATGATTTATATTGATGATTTGTATACTGACGAGTTGATGACAATAGGCATTTCCCCATTGAACATGGCGGTGAATCTTTTGCTGCAGGACGGGGATATTCTGGAATGGTCCCCAAATGATGAGCATCTCTTTCAGATGGCTTGCAACATGTTGGCTCCGCCGGTGGGGTTTGCCCGGCTTGGAACAAGGTCGACTGTGACTACATGTGATGAGTATCCGCAGCCGTTTGTTGTTCTTGTAGTCATGGTGTTGATTTTACTGTGTTTTTTTCATATAAAATGTGGTTGTTCACAAGTAGACTTCATATCCTTTTTTTCAGATGCAATTGATCATTGAATGTTTTGACAATGTCCAAACTTGAGTTTTTTTCGCCAAATCTGGCGGAAAAATCAACAATCACCTGTAATTTACAGCGTTTCCACTTGACACGATTTGCATACATATATAGACAGACATGAAGTATACATACATATATATATATATATATCACATACACCAGAAGTAAACAGAAAGAGTCAGACAGAAAGGAGACACATGGCAAGAAGAAATACATTGAACCCAATCAAGATGAGGAAACGATGGACAATCAAACATGACACTGCGATTGCGTGATACGTTTGCACATGACACACCAGCAGCGTACCATGTGCACACATGAACACACCAGCAGCGTACCATGTGTACACATGAACACACCAGCAGCGCACCATGTGTACACATGAGCACACCAGCAGCGTACCATGTGTACACATCAACACACCAGCAGCGTACCATGTGTACACATCAACACACCAGCAGCGTACCATGTGTACACATGAACACCAACGTTGACACACCCCACCCCACCCCACGTACCATGTGTACACATCAACACACCAGCAGCGCACCATGTGTACACATGAACACACCAGCAGCGCACCATGTGTACACATCAACACACCAGCAGCGTACCATGTGTACACATCAACACACCAGCAGCGTACCATGTGTACACATGAACACCAACGTTGACACACCCCACCCTACCCCACGTACCATGTGTACACATCAACACACCAGCAGCGTACCATGTGTACACATGAACACACCAGCAGCGCACCATGTGTACACATCAACACACCAGCAGCGTACCATGTGTACACATCAACACACCAGCAGCGTACCATGTGTACACATGAACACCAACGTTGACACACCCCACCCCACCCCACGTACCATGTGTGTACACATCAACACACCAGCAGCCTACCATGTGTACACATGAACACCAACGTTGACACACCCCACCCCACCCCACGTACCATGTGTACACATCAACACACCAGCAGCGTACCATGTGTACACATGAACACCAACGTTGACACACCCCACCCCACCCCACGTACCATGTGTGTACACATCAACACACCAGCAGCCTACCATGTGTACACATGAACACCAACGTTGACACACCCCACCCCACCCCACGTACCATGTGTACACATCAACACACCAGCAGCGTACCATGTGTACACATGAACACCAACGTTGACACACCCCACCCCACCCCACCCCACATGTTAAAATTCCGGGCAAACCCCCCCGGTAGACCCAACATGTTGCAACAAAACCATCAGTGACATGTCAAGGTGTGTTTCTTCATTGGGGAGTTGCAGCTGTTCCTTGAAGCAGCCCATATTGTTGGGACATAATCACAACAAAAGGAGGAATTACGAAAGCAAGAAATTTGTTGTACAAACATCTTGTGGAAGTGTGGCGCAGTTCACTTGGCGTTAGGCTGTTAGGCTCATGTTTTTGCTATACCCAAATTGGTTTGATGGCAGATGCGACCAGTTTTGCATTGGCACCACATGTTTGAACAATATTTCATCTCGGAGAACTGAGCAGAATCTATATATTTGAATGTCCATTCCGGCCAATATTTCTACTGTAAGTGCGAATCGCCAAATATTCCAAGCAATATTGACCTATCATATTAGCCTGCTATGCCTGTTAGCCGATGTTAATGTTGGCCTCTTCTATGTCACTATGTCATGAACTGTACTGCACGGGTCAGACTCATGTTTTTCTTCGGTGTCAAAGCTGTGACTTGAAGATCCACTTCCAGATGCTAGCAAACCCACGCTGTCGCCACATGACCAGGCGGTACGGGTAAAACCAGGTCAGTTCATTATTTTTAGGGGTACCGTGCAAAGTGCAAACAGTTCAGTATTCTTAGACATATCTCAGAACCATTGAATTTGCAATATCACAAGGCACGCCTGATTTTGACCAGCTATCCTTGGGGTTCTTGCATTTGTTGCCCCAGGAAAGTTCAAGGAACTCATGGATGACTTCAAGTCTAACGGGCGAAGCACTTCTTTGCCTCTTGGCTAAAGATCAAAACTTTAAGCTGATGATGTTAAACATACTACAAAGGGGTATCGGGCATGGTTGGTGGTTCACCGTAGTTATATAGCAGAATGGATTATAACTCCAGTGACGTAAGTGGGTATGTAGGGTTAATTAGATCAGCCAGTATTCTGGTGATGGACATCCCCAAAAATGAACTGGAAATGTTAGGATCTTGTTTTGACATGCAGACTGCAGACTTTACGAATGACACAAGTCTGCGGCATAGTAGTATAACGTGCATGATGTGGTATTTTGGTCATCCTGCGCAGACATATCTCCAACGTTTCTTCTTTTGTTTTTGTTTGGGTCTCTGAACTCAGCAAGGTTATGACGGTTATGAACATCCATATTCTGGAACAGAACCGCTTGATTACAATATACATATACATATACATATGTATGTATTGTTTTTTGGTTTGTCCACCCGGTCAAACCACCAGCCATTCCGCAATATCAAATGTTTGATACATTCTCCTTAGATACAATATCTTTCAAAATTTCTTGGATAGATATGTGTCAGATGGGTCAATCATTATCAAGGAAATGTCTCGATTAGATATGCATATATATACCACATATGATGTGTATATATATATATAATTATATACAACTATTTGATATGCACTAATTAATATATACACAGATACATCAAATATGCAGGCCATGGACATTGCTGGATATCCCCACTTATAATATAGTAATATAATGTAATATCTGGCTATGGATCAATACCTATTAATACCATTTTTAGGGGGATGAACATCCATTTACGAGCTATTTTGATGTTCACCAGGGGTACAAGGTTTTGACACACTGCCATATATATATAATATACGATATGATATGTATATTTGTGTATGTGTGTGATGATTAGACTTCTGTGAGGTCTAAAGCCCTGGATCTTTGCGCCGCAGACAGCGACAACGGCGCTGACATCTTGGAGCCTGGGTGCAAAAAAGTGTGCTGCTTGATACGGGGTGAAGATGGACCGTTGCAAAAACAAATGCACAAATCAATGATCTTGGTTTTTTGAGAATTTAACAGCCAAAATATGGCTTCAAACATGTATTTCATCAGCAAAAGTGGGGGTGTGTTCACAATGTAACGTTTTACAAATCTTTAGCATGCCATCACATACGAAAAAGGTTTGAACCTCATTTTTTCAGCCGCGAAAGACGAATTTGGAGGGTTTTGCTTTGAAATACCTGACACGACTTGGCCTGAGGATATTTGCGTGGATGGAGTGGCCAATGACGGCAGCAACCGTGGCAGCAAAGTTCCTGGGTGCACTTCAGTCATACACTTTGAATTCTATGTTTCCTCAATTTTTATGGATTGAACATGATTGAACACTAGAAATTTCTATATTAATTATCCACCTGAAAGATTCTGCAAGCCAAGCACCAAGGTGCTGATGACCAAATTTACCACCCTTTGCGACGCTGATCCTCGCGTGGCGAAATCTCCCATGATGATCTGTTCGTCGGACTGGAAGGTGGTGAAGGAAGGCCGGCACGACAAAACCTGGTGCCAATGGTCCAAAGTGCAGATGTAGATGAGGCATTAATGGTGATTAATGGGGATTTAATGGGATTTTATGGTGATTAACAGAGAGTTTGACAATATTGGGATATTCATGGAAATTACCCTCTGGTAATTTTGAGCATAGCTACGGAAAATGGTTCGATTCAAAATGGTGATTTTGCATAGCTATGTAAAAAAAAAAACAGAGGGGAACCTCCAATAAAGCTTCAGAACAGGTATGAATATGAAGTTAAAAGTTATCGCTATTCTAGAAATTCATTTTACATATCAGATTCCAATTTTTTGGGGGTTGCAATAGACTATGAATAGAGAACAACTTCTGCTGGACTCAGATTTCGACTGTATTCTGTGTGTGAAACAGCGCAGATTTAGTAGACAAAATTCTGTTGACACATTAACAAAATGACATAATTAGTAAACATATGAACACAAGCCTTAGTTCAAACCTCATATTGTAAGAAATTCCACACTGTCAGCGAAACATATTTGACATGGTAGCCCACCACGCCCATGCTGATCTGTGCCACAGGTCTCGGCAATCTGCAGGGCCGCTGCATCGTCAACGCCATTTGCTTGATGGTGGGTGAAGATGAATTCCTACAACTGGCCAAGGAGCTTACCTTGCTCTTGGTCCTGGATCAGGGTCGGAGTTGGGTTTGGATCACTGGATCAGGGACAGGTGGGGACTGAAAATTGCGATTTTGGTGACCAGGGGAACAGGGTTTTGACACGCAGTTCCTTGCTTCCCGTCAGTAGAGGATATTTGAAGAATTCGCCCCAAGTTGAATGAGATGAAACTTCTCCACATGCACGCTTGGGTCGGGTCCACTGCCCATATCCCATTTGATACAATGGTTTTACGTTGTCAAGCTGCTCAAAAGATGCTCCTGCCCATGGCCCATGACCACTGGCTACGGAATGAATGCTACAGACACTGAGTGGACATTTGCCTATCTGATTTGTTGGGCCCTATTTACCTTTAAACTGATGCTGCTGAACACGTGACCCGTTGCTTCGGCTGGATGCATTTGTATGTAGATCATGTGACTCATGTGAATCTTCAATGTGGTCAACATCAAAAAGGACCCTCCAATTGGTTCAGGTCTATTCCAAAGAGATGCTACTACAACTAGGCCATTAGGATCCATTAATATCCATTAGGTATCGTTGATTCCTTTTGGTTCAGCAGCTCAGCACAGCGTTGGATCTGGGCTCGCTGGTCCCATGCTGTTCGGAATTTCAGGAGACCATGAAGTACGGGGCAGCACTGGTTGTGATGGCCATTGGTGAGCAGGGCCGTGCTGTTACAGCCAAGGACAAAGCAGCCCAGCTCCCATTGGAGCTATATATCTGGATCCAGTTTGGGGGAAAAATCTGAAATCCTGAAATGGGACGAAATCTGGAGACCGTTTGAGACCTTTACAGTCTGCAGAACACCTAGAATGAATAAAAACTCAAGATTTTGAACTGAATCATTTCAGGTTGAACATGGACCCGAATAGCGTGGTATGGGCATGGCTCAACCAGATTGGTCGTTTTACCTTTCATAGGCTGCAGTGATTAATGATAACCAAACATCAACCTCTCCGGCCTAGGGCCTAGGTGTAGCTGCAGCTGAGTCACTGGGATTGACTGTATCAATGCTAAGCAGCTGACCCGTGGCGAACCATGAATTCAGAGTTTGAGGTCCCAGCCATCCCAGCGGATTATCATGGCCAAGTTTCCAGTGAAATGGCCATTTGGGGGATTACCCTCTGGTTATTTAACATAGCCATGGTATAGATGGCCCATTTATAGATGCTTTACCTGGGTTTACCTATTAAAAATGGTGATTTTCCATGGCTATGTTAAATAACCAGAGGGTAAATCTCAGCATTTTCAGAATTGTTCAGACACACCCAAGTTTCTTAACTGCTTGTACCAAGGTAGCCTTACTTCAGAGAAGCTATCGTTTGCTCAGGCAGAAACTGGACTTCCCTGCGGAATCTTGGTGACAGTTGTGGTGTTATGTATCTATATCAATAGTATTCAATAGTCATCCCGGAGTAGATAGAATATGGGAATGTAAATCAGATTCACTAAAAATGCATCAATTTTGAACATATTCTATCAAAATCTATCTACTTCAGGATGGTTCGAATATTTGGATGACACTGTTGTTGACATGTTCATGATTTCTTTCACCCCTCCATCAGCTCGGTGACCCAAGAATGTTTGGGTGATGTTTTGGGCGAATTTAAACCACCAACACCCACCTCAGTAAAAAAAAGATCAAGATATGTTATCAGAGATGTTATCCATCAGATGGTGATGGACGGATTTTACCCCAGAATCACGGCCAAGGTTGACCTGGATAAACGGGTCTATCATGGTCTATTTGAGAACGGGCTACCCCAACGAAACACCCCACCTTAATGGCATGTTTTATTGTCATTTTGAACAGGGAAAATATATGAAAATATATGAACATATATGAACATATAGGGACTATGATAAAACTGAACTTCATAAACCAAAGCATTTTGGGGATACTGTACTAGTTTTTCAGACCAAGCCATAGTTCCAGGGAGGATGGGAGTCACTGAGGAAGACATCATTTTGGATTGCCATCTCCAGACCTTGCGGCACGATGAACATCCCATGGAGGCGCTTTTGTCGCATCGACACCACATTTAAAGCTTTATTATGCATATATTATGCATATAGAGTATAGTAATATAATACTGTTACTATTAATTACTACTATTATTATTGTTATGTTTTTGATTGATTACTTTTATTTTTATATTTGTTTTGGTTGTGGTACTCGTATTGTTGTTTATCATTTCATTGTGGTAAACTATCTTGATTCATTCACCTCATCGAGATCATCTATATAGTTTTCTTTAAATTGTACAAACACACACACACATGTCAACATAGATCCGAGCCATACCCTCTGGTAAACTAACATAACTATGGAAAATCACCATGTTCAATGGGAAAATCCACTATAAATGGCCATTTTCAATAGCTATTTTGACATAACCACAGTGTAGATCCGAGCCATAAATTCTTCAACCCTCCAAGTGGCCATGGCAGCCATCTTTCGTCAGGTGATCTCTGCCATGGGCGACCTCAAACGGCTCTGTCCTTGTGCGCAGCTGACGGTGGGCTTGAGCAATCTCAGCGCCGCCTTCGGGCGCCTGGGGAAGTTGCGGGAGGCGCTACACAGCACCTTCCTACAACACGCCGTGCCCAAAGGTGCCCCCGGACTGGGGACTGGGGAAGTTGGAAAGATGGGAAAAGATGATGAGAAATGCAGTATAATGTGATATATAAGGATATATATATATATACACATATACATAGTATACTTTAATATAATATACCATATACTATAAGTATGTAATGTTATATTGCATTATATTATAGTATATTATCTTATAGATATCACATCATATATTATTATATTTATTATTTAGATTATATTTATTTCTTATTTGGATTATATTTACATGATATTCAATATTATATGTTATTTTATTGCATTAAATTTTATTATATTGTATTGTGTTACATTATATCATACTTATATTCGATTCTATTCTATTCTATTCTTCTATTCTATTCTATTCTAGTCTAATTCTGTTGTATTCTATATTATTATATTATGTTCTATTATTATATTCTATCATATCATATCATACCAGTAGTACCCGCACGAGGCGGGGCGGAAGTTGCCTTAAAGATATATATGAGACCTTTCTCATCTATAGAACTTGCATGCGCCGTGCGCCAGCCAAGCCCGTGCGTGCGTGCACTCTGCGAAAGTGGTGTCCTGTTTCACATGTCACATTTGAAGCTCCACTTCGCACTTCACGCTTCACACTCCACACTTCACACTCCACACTCCACACTCCACACTTCACACTGCACGCTTCCCACTGCACACTCCACACTTCACACTTCACACTTCACACTCCACACTTCACACTTCACAGTCCACACTTCACACTTCACACTCCACACTCCACACTTCACACTCCACACTTCACACTTCACGCCCCACACTTCACTCTTCACACTTCATCTCATCTGAGCTCTTCTCACCTTATCCCAGCTCATCTCTTCTCATATGTCATCTAAGCTTTCATGAATCACTTCCCAGTACTACTACTAAGGAACTTGCATGCGCCGTGCGCCAGCCAGGCCCGTGCGTGCGTGCTTTGTGCGAAGCTGTTGCAGTGTTGCTGTCCAAGAACATGACCTGCGCCCGACCCCGGCACAATTCAAACACTTTCCTCACACTTCACATTGCACTCTTCACACCCCACACTCCACACTTCACACTTGCACTTCATCTCAACTCATCTCATCTGAGCTCTTCTCATCTCATCCCATGCCTTCCCATATGTCAGCTAAGTTCTTCTTGGCTATTTTTATGTCAAGTACTTCCCAGTACTGATGTCTAATACAAAAGCTTGCAAAAACCACTTCCCAGTACTACTTTGTACTACAAAGCTTGCACAAACTACTTCCCAGTACTACTTTGTACTACAAAGCTTGCACAAACTACTTCCCAGTACTACTTTGCACTACAAAGCTTGCACAAACTACTTCCCAATACTACTTTGTACTACAAAGCTTGCACAAAGCACGTTCCAGTACTACTACTTGTACTACAAAGCTTGCACAAAGCACATTCCAGTACTACTTTGTACTACAAAGCTTGCACAAAGCACTTCCCAGTACTACTTTGCACTACAAAGCTTGCACAAAGCACTTCCCAGTACTACTTTGTACTACAAAGCTTGCACAAAGCACTTCCCAGTACTACTTTGTACTACAAAGCTTGCACAAAACACTTCCCAGTACTACTTTGTACTACAAAGCTTGCACAAAGCACTTCCCAGTACTACTTTGTACTACAAAGCTTGCACAAAACACTTCCCAGTACTACTTTGTACTACAAAGCTTGCAC